GATTGTTGTTGCTGCCACAGCAAACTAATATTATAGGTATAGTTCGCGATATATTTGGTGTTATACTGTTGTATATTTGGTTATTTATTTATTTATTGTGGTGAATGTGCACAATTAATTTATAATTATAGATCATGAAACTTATATTTACTAGATTATATAATAGTATAGGACGTCTCACCCGCATGTGTTGTCTCCGTCGTACACACATACGACATAGCAAATGTTCGTTGGCTAGTTTCAATAGGATATTGTCAGTTTTTATATTAGAGTGAATTGACCTATTATCAAACTTTTAGGTAAGAACAGTATCTATTCTGTGTTCTCTCGTTGGTTTTTTACGATATTTTAATTTTTAAGTGAGTTATAGGTATGTATAGTATTCATATTCTAAAATGTTCATAACTCACTTAAAAATTAAAATATCGTAAAAAACCAACGAGAGAACACAAATAATGTTGTTACCTAAAAGTTTGATAATAGGTTGATTCACTCTAATATCAAAACTGACAATACCTACCCTATTGAAACTAGCAAACGAAAATTTGCTATGTCGTACGTGTGTAAGACGGAGACAACACATCCGGGTGAGACGTCCTCTTAATGATTATAATAAAGGTACATTTTGTATTATAATCCATATTGCTAAAAATCGCATAGGTATACATTTTTTGGGGCCCCCTTAAAAACTGACCCATGGGACTTTGGTGTGCCAGGCCGACACTGGTCATGAACTATAATATACAGAAAGTTCTCACCATTACATCATTCGCAATAGTGGATCGAGTGTTATATTTTTAACTTAAACAAAAATTGTAATTAATATGTATCATATAATGGACAATTTTGAAAGTCAAAGAGGCAGTTCGCAGTGAGTTAATAGTATATAGGAAATATTCTTATGTGGTTTTGAGGAAGAATAATAATTCCATAAAGTATAAGGTGGAAATGCACACAGAACTCAAATTTTAAATGGCCGGGAAAAGTAACAACTAATTTGATGAAACCGGTAACTGATAAGTTATAATATTATTATATTATAACTAGCTGATCCCGTGCACTTTGTTACCCGTTAAATGTACAAACTGTATATGACTCAAACTTTGTTCAATGCTCTATTTAATATTCGGTGTATGATGTTCTAGATTTATTTTAACTTTTCTTTTGACCGGAATACAAATTTTAATTCACAGCCCTATATTATCAGGTAGTCAATCTATACCTGCGGTAGATCGCGGACCTCGTGCTGTCTGTACGTAAGTGTATGATTTAACTCTAAAGTATCAAAATTATACAAAGTTTGTCGGTTTTACTCAATTCCACCTACGGCGAATTAATATAATCAAACCGTAAATTTTTATGAGCATTTTAAATTCATATTTTTACAAAATTTGTTATTTACTCGATTTCTCATGTAACGATTTTCTTATTTTGATATACCTAATTTAAAACGAATGACTCTATACTCTATTCAAAATAAGACCGTGGCCAGCCGGCGAGTGGCGACCAGTTTCCGTCCGGCGGCGGTCAGAGTGGTCAGCCATATGGTGAAACGCCGTCCACACCACGGGCTCTGCCACGGAACTAAGCCACGCCCATGCGCACAACTCGGCCGCCCGGTCACGATCTTACTTTGAATCACGGACTAAGTATATCTTAGTTCGTGCTTTGAATAGAGTATAGATACATGCAAATTTCACTGAATGTTTATCTTATCAATTATTATACTTATGATAGAATTTTCAAAATATTTTGATGCTTTTTGAGCTGTTTACGGGCATTGTCAGTTTTCAATATTTTATTTTTTTTTTCTATGAATATCAATAAAGTTTTATCTGTTAGGCCAAACAGTTTAAACATTTAATACAAGGCTCCTGATGTATTGTTACAATAGCAGTTGAAAAATATTAAAAATACATAGGCACTATTTTTTTTATAAGCATTTAAAGATCAAACAACATTTATCAAATTTAAAATTGAATAATTATTTTGTACTTAAAAACGTATAAAATGTTCAAATTTTATATCTAAGGATTGAAAATTTAAAACAAGATTCCATATGTAAATAGCTAGTTAATTCTGTTACCAAAAAATCTAAAAAATATACAAGCACAATTTATTTTTATAGTAATTTTAAGTTAAAATTTAGACGAAATTACATAAAAAAAAAACCTAGAATAACTATTTCAGTTATTTCGTTGTGATTGTATATTATTATTTGTGGGTACTTGAAACTTCTAAAGTACACTATTATATATCTATGATAGTATCACGGTTTTTGTTGATGTATAACGAGTTATAAGTATCTAATAGATATTGTGATATGATTAATTTGGAATTTATTATAGGTAGGTACCACGGATTAGTATAGTATATTAATCCGTGGTAGGTACCTATTATAGGTCAAATTTTTTTTTAATACCATAGATATGTATATAATATGTCTTTTAAGGATGCTGAATTGCTGAACCCAAATTTTGCATACATGTAGTGTAATTGCCAATTGGCATTTGGCATGGCAATAGCCATTAAGTAGGAGCTCATAAGGACAATGAGAACTGAGAAGGAGGTTAGCCTACCTTATATTTTTTAACATCAAAGCATTTTTGTAATATTTTATGCTTTTTAATATTTTTTACCAAATTGTTAACAATATAATAATAATAATATTAAATAAACAATAAAACAACCTAATCGGATTCTGATGAATAACTATCATGCAAGTCGTCTGAATCACTTTCTGTATTACTATCCTCAAAATCGGATTATATGAAAAGTGATTGTTCTTCCGGGGAATATTCAAGTTTATTTTTATTATATCCACCATGATTTGTACCAGCTAAAATAAATACTCCTTTAAAATATATTTGTAATGTTATGTTTATAATTAAATTATGCATTCAAACCCTAACATTCTTGATTCATTACAAAGAACAAAATTGTCAATTTCTGCACAAATATAATATAGTTTTTGATTGAAATATTTTGAATCAACTAACACAACTAAAGGCGGCTCTCACACCGGAGCAATAGGCAACGAGCAACTAGCAATCGTCAATACGCAATAATATTGCTAATTGATTAATCTCATAGAAAATAATGAATATTCTCACACCGAAGCAACACGATGTTTCCTTTTGCGAACTTGTAGCAACATGCGTACGAACGTCGTGTTGCCGGTCGATATTATTGACAGTGTTGAGCAATACGAGCTACGGTATTTTTTATTTGTTATTATATAAAATTATATATAATATTAATATTTATATAATTTGTTCAGTATTAATTATTAAGTATAATAAAAGTATAAAAGAGTACAATGCGACAATATTACCAAAATGGATCAAATAATTGTTACAATACGACCTGTATAATCATTAAAAAGTAATAACTAATTGATAACGACCGCGGATAACGATTATTAATAAATATAATAGGCCGTGGTGTGATACAGAATAATAGGCTATCAGTGATCCGCATATTGTGCCATATTTAAGCCCCTAAAACTAAGAGAGGCAGATAAAGGCAAATTAATTATAGTTATTTTTAAACGCGAGAAAATTATTTTCAAATTGAAATAAGTCTGACCAGTGGTAAAATGAAGTAAATTTAATTCACAGCCTAATGAAATTGGATTTTCTATAATAGTCTTAACTTTTAGTTATTTGATTCTCAACACAAAAAAATACAAATATAATTTTTGGACAAAATATATATTATGTTCAAATTGAGTGAATATATGACTAAATTAAAATATATTGACATTAAACTGATTTCAGTTGGATAAAACCTTAAAATACACATCAAAGTTGTTATGGAGGTATAAAATTAAAATTTTAGGTAAATTAATATGATATTACGTTGTCAAAGTCGTGTAATTCGTGGACAGGTTACTTAAGATTATTATTGAAACTATAAACAATTATGAAACTCTTCAAAAATTGACTTTTGGCAAACTAGAAATGGCTTTCATCCCACTGTGTGCCGGTTAGATATATTATGGTGCATACATGTATAATATCGAGAAAATAAATTACTTCACAGGTATAATTCTTATAATTCTCAGCTCTCAGGCCTTGTAGAATTGTCGGATTTTGATATCCATTTTTTTTAACTAAAATGCAGGCCTTCAGTTTTTATTTTATTTCAAATAATGGTATCTATAATATATAAATTAAAAAAAAAAGATTAAAATTGTATTATTTTGAAGGCATACCTAGTACCTACCTATTGTAAGGTTTGAGATTAAAATATCGAAAACCAGAATTCATAATGCGGCCTGTAGATTATTACCATCTATTAGTTTAAAAAATAAATTATCAAATCTGGTTGATTTTACATAACAGGATCATTATTCCCGTAGAGAGTACTTTATGGGCAAAATTACATTGGCACCGGGTGTCATCCTAACCTAACGATAATAAAACATCATAATATCACAGTGGCGTAGGCGCGTAGCCAAGAATTTTGTAAGAGGAGGGTTAAGTATCACAAAAAATACAAAAAAGAGGGTAAGTGGATGCCGCTATGTTGTACATTAGGTTACAAGTGGGTCACTGTATAATGGATTGTATTAAATTTGAATTCAATGATATCATAATTTATAGGTATCATTGTATATGAAAAACGATTCTGCAGAGCGGAGACGGTTTGTCAGTCTGGATATTTTATATTGTTATTATATTTTATTATAGGCTTGTATGTTGAATTAATATTATAAATTACAACAAAATAAATAAAATAGTTATTTTTATTTGTTTTTATGGTAAAATTGAAATCAAAATCCCATTTACAATGGTTTTTTGTAATATTTATCGGTGGTTTTTCCCGTTATAAGTTATAAATTATTATATCAAACTGAACATTTTATTTTATGTTTTCTAATAGTAGGTAAGGAAAACAACTTCCTAACACATTTAAAAACACTTTAAGTTTATTTTATTTATACATTATTATGTACAGTATACAATATAAAAAAATTAATTTGATGCGTCGTTGTCTTAATGGATTAATCCTGAAATCATAGGAAAACAATTGTTATTAATAATAATATAACTTTGATTAGTCTTTTTTTACAATCAATTTGGTACCAACCTAAATAATCGTCCATCAATGTACCGATAGCAAACTGTAAAAACAAATGTTTCATAATTAAAGACATTTCATTTTAAATAATATATCATACTAAAAAGTTTACAACAGCTAAATTGTTTTTATAAATTGTTTTATAAGTGAACATTTTTATTCAACATTTTGTTACAAACTGAATCTTATCTAACAAACTGAAATAAATAATTCATAAAAAAATAAGTATTCTATCTAAAAGTGTCTAAATTATGATCAGTGAGCCCTCACTAATTTTAGAATCTATGTAAAAATGACTGAAGGAAAATGTCTGGGGTAAAATTGTCCAAAATAAACTGTCCTTGACAAAGTTGTTTAGAATCAAAAATAGGATGTAATATACATACACATATGAAGTACATTATTATACACACATCATATACCTAACTAAAATATATCTGTAACATTGATTTATATTTTAAGAAATAAACAGATACAGCAAACCTAGTAGTTGAATGCAATTAGACGCTTCCAATATTAACAATAGTATGGCTTATCTGTACATTATATAATAAATGCTACTATGTATTTTATTATAACATTTAAAATAAAATTTAGTTACCTAGTTATAACTATCTTCAACAATCAGTGCTTAAATGAATAGTTTTTATTCTACAATATAACACAGGATTAATGTATTTTTTTTTTTTATAAAACACTGATTATTTTCAATTTAATTTTGTTAACATTTATTTACAGAAATGGGCATGATATCAAATCCTTTGGATTTCGATTTTTGATTTTAAATATATACAAGGATTTTGATTTGACTTTATAAATACTAAATACCATTGTAATGATTTTGATTTTCGATTTGTCAGTCTATAACACTGACTAAATAAATATAATAAAAATATCAATTAATCAATTTACTTTATAATATTTTTTTATACTTTTATAGTTCATGGTTTGTAACAATTGATAGAGAATAAAAAGGTGATAAGTGGCCCATCAACCGTTCACCAAAGTTATTAAATTGTTAAATTTAATGGTTAATGGTATTAATATGTAATTAACTTAATAGATAAACAGAAATCAAGACGTCATTTTTAAATTGTCTTGTATTTAAAAAACCTTGTTTATTCTTTAATATTTAATTTCAAATAGGTGCTCTGCTGTACAGTAGGTTACAATGGGGTCACTGTATAATGGGTGGTATTAAATTTGAAATCAAAGATCTATCATTGTATAAGAAAAACGATTCTGAGCGGAGATGGTAGGCCAGTCTAGGTATAAGATATATTATATACTTATCCATGGTATTAAAAAAAATTTACCTATAATAAATTCCAAATTAATCATATCACAATATCCATTAGGTACTTATAAAGCGTTAAATATCAACAAAAAACCCTGATACTATCATAGATATAAAATAGTGTACTTTAGAAGTTTCAAGTATCCACAAACTATATTATACAATCACAACAAAATAACTAAAATAGTTATTCTAGGTTTTTTTTATAAAATTTTGTCCGAATTTGAACTCAAAATGACTATAAAAATAAATATTGTACATATGTATTTTTTTAGATTTTTTGGTAACAGAATTAAATACTTACATGGAATCTTGTAATAAATTTTCAATCTTTAGATATAAAAGTTGAAAATTTTATAAATTGTTAAGTACAAAATAATTATTCAATTTTAAATTTGTTAAATTTTGCCAAAATTCGATCTTTAAATACTTGTGAAAAAAAATTGTGCCCCTATGTATTTTAAATATTTTTCAACTGACATTGTAACAATATATCAGGAGGCTTGTATTACATTTTTAGACTTTTTGGCAAAACAGATAAAACTTTATTGATATTTATAGAAAAAAAAACTAAAAAAATTGAAAACTGAAAATGTCCGTAAACAGCTCAAAAAGAGTCGAAATATTTTCAAAATTGTATGGTGTATAGGAAATGCTAATATAAACATTCGGTGAAATTTTCATGTATCTATAGTTATTTGTTTTTGAAAAACTACAAAATTGCTATATGAAAATCGAGTGAATAAAATTTTGTAAAAATATGAATTTCAAACGCTCATAAAAATTAAATTTGATTTTCTTATAAGCATTTTTTTTTTATAAAGGTAGTTAATCTTATAAGGAATCTTAGATTTAAAAAGAAAAATTTTTATGAATTCTTAAGAGGACGCTACACCCGCATGTGTTGTCTCCGTCTTACACACGTACGACATAGACAAAACGCGTTTAGGCAGTCTGAGTATAACTCGCTCAATTTTGGTTCTAGAGTAAAAATACCTATTATGAAATTGAATTGTGATAATATTTCTAAGGGCAAGACGCTGCGGTTTTTTTAAAATATTTAATTTTTTAAAAGTCAAAGGTATTTTAAAAATGGTGAAATTTTTTCTATTTCTAAACGATATAATGAACGTTATATTGGGTATAATGGAAAAACCGCAGCGTCTTGCCCTTAGAAATATTATCACAATTCAATTTCATAATAGGCATTTTTACTCTAGAACCAAAATTGAGCAAGTTATACTCAGACTGCCTAAACGCGTTTTGTCTATGTCGTACGTGTGTAAGACGGAGACAACACAAGCGGGTGTAGCGTCCTCTTAACTCAAAATAATTTGCTAATTTTTGTGATTTTTCAATATATTGTCAATTTTTGAACTTTAAAGTTTAAATGCTTATAAAAAAAAAAACTATGACTAAGGATTTTTAATATTTTTCATCTGCCTTTGAAACAATATACTAGGAGCCTTCTATTAAGCTTTTTTAACCAAAAAATAAAATTTTATTGATAATTTTAGAAAAAAAACTAAAAAACAATGGAAAATGAAAATGTCCCTTAACAGTTCATAATAAATCAAAATATTTTGAAAATGTTATCGTGTATGGAAAATGCAAATATAAACAACCAGTGAAAATTTCATGTATCTATGGTCATTTGTTTTAAAGTTACACCAAAAACCAAATTCAATTTTGTGAAAAATCGAATTTGAGTAAAAATTCCCGTTTTTCCTTAATTTTCTTATGTTTTCTTGGAGCTTTTGAAAATTACTGGGAATTTTAAATTTTGACCTCCCCACTAACGATATTCACTTTCCAATCGAACAAGATACTGAAGTTGAAAATCGAAGCATTATTTCGACTACTAATAGTGTACACAGACACAAAAAAAAAAAAACACACACACATCATTGTAAAATCGTTCCACTCAGAATCTAAAACATTTGACTATTTAAAATGTACTTCATTCAAAACTTTCTTCAAAATGAGATCATTTCAGGGTTCCGCAAAACTTAAGTGCCTTTTCAGGATTTATATTTGTAAAGTCCTGTTTGTCTATTATTTAAAATATTTTCTTGAATTAAATATAGTACAACTATTTTATATGAAAATATTTTTATTTTTAATGCAAATAATCCATACATAAAATGACATATTGAAACTATTTAAACAAAGTAGGGATACTAATATTGTCTGTCGAGCTATAGTAACTTATCGTTGAAAGCTAAATAAAAAGAACTTAGAGGTTTCCCGATAAAAGTGGACATAAAAAAAGAGTTCCACTTAAAAGTTTAAGAAACACTGGCCCATAGGTATGTATTCTACATAATAATTATTAAATTATCATTTATAATCTATGGTGTCTAAACGTACCTACTGTATAGTGTGTTTAATTATAGTTTAAAAAATGTATGGATTAAAATGACTAACAAAACACTTTTTTTTTGACAATTAAATTTTTGAATATTTAGTTAGACAATTTAATTGGTAATGTGGAGATTTTTTTTTTTTTTTATTTCGAAAACATTGATTTTCAAAATCATTTATTCGGTAATTTTGGACTTGGATTTTAAAAATCAATTTTTAAGGATTTTCCCAGCTTTGTAAATAAAAGTTCATTAACCAATGATATTAATTAATATTTTTTGTTCTCATAGTATTCGAATATTAACAAATGAATTTTAAAATACATACTATTCCTGATGCATCAACACGTGTTCCAACAATTTTTAATCTTATTGTGTCTTCAGGCTGTATTGCTATATTCTAATAACATAAATAAATAATATTATAGTAATATATTATACATGAAAGACAAAACTAAATAATAATCTAAAGAATAACAACAAACCTAATATCAGCTTTGGATTTTAAATGGAGAACATTAGAGTAATAATGTGGAGTACATTCAGTTTTTAAAACAAATGTACAGAAATTGAGAAATTTCTGATAAACCCTCACAAGCTGACACTTATTTTACTTTATAAAAAACAGTCAGTGGCAGTGTGAAATTATTTTTTCTTTAATTGCTATTTAAAATAAGTATCCATCTACCAAATGGATAGCTAACCCCTCTACTAACCAAACCCAATTCATACAAAGTACATAAAATAATTGTAAATTATAAATGAGTATCAATTCACATCCCTACTTTTAAATAAAGAGGTTGCTTCAAATAAATAGCTAATCAAGCCACCACTTATAATTGGTAACAGGAATATATTTTCAGACTACTGTACCATACCCCAAAACAGATCCAACAATTAAATATTTTAATAGAGGAAGACAACTTAAAATTAACGCCAACAGTTATATTAATCCCGTTAATAAGGTTATTGAAGACTATATGATTACAAATTCTTGAATAAGTAATAAAGCATTTAAAATTCTAATATGTATTATATTCAAAGAAAGACCCAACTTATCTGCGTAAATTTATTGAATCGGTATCTTCCAACAATTTATCTCACAGTAAGAAAAAGGTTAATATCATCACTCATCAGCAAAAATAAAGAGCTGACAGTTACTCAAATTTTCTGGAATACCATTTATAAAGATAGCAAATAAAAGTAGTGTCAAATAAGTAATAACCAAGGAAGTAATCATATTGCACACCATTAATTGGTGGTGTTCTCAGAACTATTTCTAAGATAAAATGTACATTTTTTATAGTTCCTTAATATAAGCACTAAAAACTATAAGTATTGAGTACTTATGCATTAATCAAATGTTTGTTACATACTTCTTCTTTTGATTTGTAACATGGAGGTGAAGTATTTGGACAAAACTGTAACTCTGATGGTATGGACTGCAAAAAAAAATAAAAGTAGGTTTCAATTAATACTAATTTAATGTTTTAAAACAAAAAGGAATCCATGATAATCATTAAATAATCATAATAACAATATAAACATTAAATACCTACATACATTTTCTCATTTTTTGTTTTATTTGACCTTTGAGATATATACTCCTTTTTTAAAGAGAACATACGACTTTTGCACATGACAAATGATTCGATTGGTGAGTCGAGAACCACGTGATCAAGCTAACAATGGGAAATTGGTGGGGGATGCGTGCCACCGGATATAAATTGGTCAAAGGCCGGTATGTTCTCTTTTGTAAAGGAGTTTAGTATAATATTAATTATTTTAAAGTAATAATGTATAACTTACATGATGAGATATAAAACAGGAGAGTGGTCCAATTTCTGCAAACATTCCTACTTTGTTAAGTTGCGTAACTACAGCTTCCAAAACTTCACCTTTAAAGGGTCGGAAAACAATAGCTTTATATTTTACGGTGTATACAACAAATCCTTGACCAGGCAGAATTAATCCACAACCAATATTATCAATATGGGTTACAGCAATTACAAATCCATACCTTGAAAGTATAAAATTAATGAAATAAAACATTTAAGTGACTTTTAATTACTTATAAAGTTATAACTTATAACCTATAAGATTATAAATGTACTATTTTGTGCCTATCCTTCCTTCTGATTCTACAAAAAATATATTTAGCCCTGTTTTCAAAGTACAAATCATAGCTGAGCAGCTTCTTCACTTTTTAACCTCCAAGCATAAGACATGTTATAGAAAGACGGAAAATTAAATATGATAAGGTAGAGCTTGTTACGAAGATTGGCGCTATTAAGCTATGTATTGGTTGTCTTCGAAACAGTGCCATTTCTCTCATTTTTATGATAAAATTCATGCTATCTTTCTTAATCGACTTGGCACGACGACGACTCCCAGTCCTCAGGACAAATGTTCCATCTATTTCTATAATGATGTTTATAGATTCTTAAAACTGAATATAAAAATTCAGTCAAACATTAGGAAAATTATGTTGTATTCTAATATATGATTAGGAGTGCCAAAGTGTGACAGTTTTTCAAATGTATGAAGTTATTACGTTTCATTCACTTATTTAATTTAGAGAACAATAAAAGAGCAGTTTAAAAATTACTCACTTTCCAGTACAAGTGCCTTCAACTTCACGATACAACTTTTGTTTTACTGTGTCTAATAACTGTGGACCAAAGTACCGAGGATGGAGCAGTACATCGTGTTCTAGTGCGATCTAAATAAAAATATGCATACAATTTAGGTATTCCCTCAACGTGTTTAGTGAACTTACATGATAGAACATTTTGTATTTTTGCCGTTCAAATTCAAAATTGCTATTTACACGACCGATGTGAAACTATAGATAACTTATGTAACTTATCACAAATATTAAATAATGATACCTATACCACAGAATAACTATTCTGTGCCTATACAACAATTTTAAAATTAATATTTATTGGCCCAAATAATTTTGAATTTACGCAACCATAAACATGTTTAAACACTAAACTATAAATTAACACAGCTCTATAAAAATCATGACAAAATGATAATAATTGTAAAAAATTCGTTGTGAAAACCTTAGATATAGGTATATGATCTAAGTGAAAAACTGTAAACAATAAACTAAACACCGCTTTGAGTGACTTATCAACTAAAGTAATAAAATATGTTTTTATTTACAACCTCTTTGAATACAATTTATATATTATTTTGGGTTTTAAACACGATAGTACTATCTTTAATCGTGGACTCAGATAATCAATTAATATTTAATTTTAACCATATTTACTTAATTTTAATAATATTCCTGAATTCGTGAATCGTGATTAAAATTGAATTATCCTTACATAGTTACATCCATGACAAAATAAAATAATTTATTTTGTCATTGTTACATCTAAATTAAGTTATTGTAATAATACGAATATTTAATTTAATTTTTTTCATAATTTCGTGATTTAACTTAGTTGACTTTAAGTAAATACAATATACTCACAGAAAAAAGATTAAATATACGTCTTCATAATAGATTATTATTTATGATATATCGTAAATTCTTTACAAGGCAATCTGAATCATCCAACTATTGTTTATAAATAATTATATTGCATATTCAGAACCATATCTATAATGAATCCTATTCAAATATCAAATATGAGACAAAAAACAAGTATACTTGATAAGTCAATTAGCAAAGGTAAAGGTGAAATAAACATGAACTGTTTTGCATTGATGTTTTCTGAACTGGTACAGTACTGTCAGGGGAAGGCACACACAGTTAATGAGTTACAAATGAGGTAGGTACTTAAGGATTTAAGTTTAGTTTTATTATTCATTTTACAAATTAAATTATTTTTTTTAGGTTGTCTGACTTAGGACAAGAAGTCGGTACCAAATTGATTGATTTACATTTCCTACGTGAAAAAAACAGCAAACGCGAGATAAAATTATTGAATATGCTGTTGTTTATTAAATCTACATTCTGGAAAGTATGATGGCCAAGTTTTTAACATTTACTCCTTTTACTCTTTTTGCTTGAATTGAAAAATATGCATGAACTATTTGCGTTCCCAAAGACGACTTGTACCTATGCCATTAATAAAAACAAGCAGGGGTGGGTTGAAATTATTTTTTTTCAATGAGGTGAACCAAATTAGGCAATTTTTCCAATTCAAGTACTGAATTCAAGTTGGTTATTGAAAGCAATTAGGTTACATAACTATTGAATTTTCAGAGTTTCTTTGGTCGTGAAGCTGACAAATTGGAACATTCAAATGATGATGATTCTACATATTATATAATTGAAAAAGAACCATTAGTAAATAAATTCATTTCAGTTCCTAAGGATAAAGGCAATTTGAACTGTGCTGTATTTGTTGGAGGCATAATTGAAGGAATACTAAATTCATCTGGCTTTGTAAGTACTAATTATAGGTATTTACTGTTACTGTGTTACTAGTGTCAGCACTTTACAGTTATCTAATCATCTTGTGATATTCATCATTAATATAAATTTATATTAATTCATTACGTCATACAAAATTGAAACATTTGGATGAATAGATAGCTTCAAATATTGTTATCTTTGGCAACATTACATACACAAATGTTTTATGCCTTAAATTCTCATTTTATGATTTTATTTAGGTAATATAAATAATTACTAATTTTGTCCTCAAAGGTTTTCCTTTATTTTAAAAGGTAAAAAAATATTTTTACCATGTATCTTTGACCTTTGTACAAATAAGAAAGTTGAGAAGCCTCACCAATATCGCCCACACCTACAAGTTAAAATTAACTACATATTTGTAAAACTGAACGCACATTTAATATATGTTTGATGGAGATAACACTTGTCGATGTGACATTCTCTTAAAAATAATTATCCTCTTCTTTTCAACTTAATTTTAAAATGCAATATTCTAAATACAAAAGTTATTTAAATTATTACCTAAATAGTAAATAGCTAAATTCTTTAGCACAATGTCGGTCGTATGTTAAAATGTTCAATAGCAACATGAGGAAAACTGATTTTTCTACCTTCAAGTTTGTCCCTCTTAAAATTAGGAATAGAAATGAAAAGATAAGATGTTGAATAGTTATAATTTTCCAACTTCTTATCGATAATCAATATGTCATACTTGTAATTGTACGTTCCAAATATCAATTAATAATAAAACCGATTGTAGACGCAACATAGAATTATCTTGTTTTATTTATCTATATTTTTATATAGTTATATCAGTTTCTTGTTAACAAAATGGCTAAAATGTATATTGTTTCTTGATCAAATAACTATCCTTCTAATTGTGTGTTATTGTTTTATAGAATGCTAAAGTCACTGCACATTGGCACAAAGGTACTACTTACATGGTAAAATTTGAAGATCACGTTATAACAAGAGACAAACAAATGGATGAACGTTAATGTTATTAAATCAAAGATCTATTTTTGTTTTGCTGTTATCTGTACGATGTATATAAATTTGTTGTAAATTAAACATTTTCTTCCAAAGTAAACTGAATACAATATAAACATTCAACTAAATAAAGAACATTTTCAGTATCTTTATTTAACATGATTCCTTAATTATAATTCTTTTTATATGAAATTAATCTTAAATAATAATCAAAACATTTAACCTAAATCTAAGAAGCATCTCTAAAAATAATCAAAAATTGTATTCAAGATGAACTTGGTTTTTCTGCTTTTGGGCTGCGCAGTTTGTATAATAGATATCCAACAGCGATGGTTCCATAGGTTGCACATACAATCTGTAACAAATAAATAATGTCTTGGTTTACTTTTTGTTATTTCAAATGTTACATCATAAACACATTGGCATATTGTATTATTGCCTAATTACAGTGGTAGTGATGTACTCAGAAATTTTATTTTGATGATGGAGGGGAAGAGTTAAGGCAAATACAAAATTATGGTTTGTAATTTGTATATATAAATAGATTATTATTAGTTGTTAATTGTTATGTAGATCTGTGGATGACAAAAAATATGAAACAAGGACACCCAATGTGAACAATTATCACTTGTTACTAGATGTTATAATATATAAATAAATACTATAATACATAAATAATAATATTTTTTTAAAAAACAAGTAAAATTATACTAATACTAATATATATCTTAGTTTTAGTTCAATCCTGATTTTATAAAAATAATAATATCTAAATTATTTTTTTTGGAATACTTTTTAGCATTAGAATTTTAGCTATAATAATGATTTCTTATTTTAAAACACAAAACTTATATAAGATTTTACAATGTCAACATACAATTTTAATTTGTTACAGTAGTAGTTACATTGATTTATTACTCCTACTTAATCAACAATAATAAGTAGTCATTGGTTCACACTGTCACAGCTATATTAATTTTAATTGATAAACATAGACTTGTCTCTTATGGGGAATAATGTTGTACATACAATTTTTCTGAGTAGTAAGGACTGAATTGTTTTTAATTTATATTCTATTATAATGATAATAAATCTATAGGTAAGTATAATTATATTATAATGTTTTAAGGAATTTAATAGGAATTTTTTATGTATTCTACATTTATTCTATGTTATGTAGTTAATTACTTATGAACAGGGCTTGGAATTTTATGCATTTGCATATTTCTTAAGAAGCTGCATGTTAAAAATCTGATTTGTTAAAAGTTGTTTTATAGTAGGTATATAGTCCAAATACAAAAATGTTTGTTGCATATTTTTGCATATTCGACTAAGTTTACATGATTTTGCATATTTAAAGATTTTAAGTATATTGATGCATATGTTATAGATTTGAAAAAAATGAAAGATAAAGACCTGTCACAGACCGTATATTTTGTATACGCCCAGTATTTCGAACCGGTGAAAATCACATACATTGTTATTGTCGTTGTAATCATTTGCTGTACTAGATACATTCAAATTTTTATTTAGGACTGTAAATTATAGGAGCAACTAAGGCTACATTTTACGGGATGCTAAAATTATGTATAATTTTCTCACTGTCCCCCTACACCACCAAACATAATTTTTAGTGCATATGTATGCACATAATTTGTTATTTTTTAGAGCATAAAAAGCAGAGCCCTGCTTATGAATATTAATAGTTCAATGTATTACCTTGATTATTACTTTTTAAGGTTTATAATTCTTAGGCCATTAGATATAAAATAATATTATTCTTACCAAAGTACACTAAAAACTATTTGAATAGGTGTGATCAATATTAAGGTGAACTGTAAAACTAGCTAATGGTCAAAGTTCTGTTCCTTACCTTTATCTAACATTTTAAATTAATTTCTTTATTAAACAAATAAAAATAATTTAAGGATAATTATAACCATAAGTAAATATCAATTGCAATATCAAAACACAGACTTGCTGAAATGCCAACAATATTTAAATATTTATCATTGCCATGATCTATGAAAAGTATTCTGGTGGACTATAAGTATTTTCCCAAATGTTTGTAATTTGTATATTTCTATGATTTATATTCTTACTATATAATATGGTATACATTTTTCCCCTCTACTTTTGATTTTTTATTCTTATTATTATATACAGTTTTAGGTTTTAAGTTAAATGATTTTAAATATTATAATTATTTATATTATTATAATATAAAATTCACATAAACGGTCACATTATAAATTGGCATTGGAATAATTTCTGTAATAATATATTATTATTATATGCCAAAATATGTCTACCTACTGTAAAATTAGCTAACTTCAAAACCCATGAACCAATTTTATTCACAGCATTGTTATCAAAAGACATTATATATTTTTAAGTGCTAAATACCTGTGATATTAGTAATTACTGTATTATCATTACAAAAAAACCTTACGAAATTGTTGAGTGAAAATAATTAATGCGACCACTACTAAAATGTGTCTCATAATTGTGCAGTTGGATACTTCAATCCATTATACCAAAATAGCAGTATAGAATTTCTTCAGAAAGATCAACCCATGACCTTGAATTGTCATTGACTTGTTTACAAAAATTACTATTAATTTAATTAGTACTTACGTTAACCCGTCCCTTGGTCGTAAGAGTGTTGAAGTATTTGCCGACGCCGGTCAACTTTGCGATTTCGGCTGGGTCTCCTTCTTCATGTGCCATTCTGAAACAGCCAAGTGCCCAATAACGAGTAATTAATACGAAAATACTTTGGAAGTTCAGAGGTGAAAATTAATCACGATGGAGGATATAGTGGTTGTTTCCATGACGAGGCAAGCAAATATGACGAATCGGCTTTAATATTTGGGTGTACTTACTTTTCTTAGTGTAGTTAAGACCTCACAAACGAACAGGATTGCAGAATTTGATTGACAAAACACGCACGAGAGCTGGGAGTACTTCTTGGGAGTTTAGAAGTCGATTTCCTTATCAATATAAAATATTGCGACGAGTGTAGAAACTATTATATAGAAGACACTGTGTGACAGAGTGTAAAGAGGAAAGTCGGCGGCCACTGAAGTGATGGGGACTGTGGTGGGGACGACCGGGAACAGAAAAAAATGGTGGACCGACGAGATAACAGCAAATCATATGCGTACAGTGCTATCAACATATTCTTGGTTTTGTAGTATTGTAAACGGTTCTGTTCAAACATGGTTCAAACTCTAGAACAATTTCAAACCATATATCAATAAACATTTAGGTCTATGGTTATAATTTATATTTGAATTCAAATAATTCAATGAATTATTGCATACGAAAAAAACGATTTTAAGTGGAGACGTTGTGTCATCCTAGCTTACGTCTTGTATAGTCAAATTTAATAGTTAAAAAATAAATTAATAAAAATCGAAAATTTCTCAATATCTTATTAAGAGACCTACGAAACTCCCTAGACGAATATTATTCCTATGGTTCTCAAAGTGGAAACTAACACTAAAGACTAAACCCAACCAATTCGAAGCAAAAATATTTACCCAAAGAAAATACATAAATCCGACCTTGATACAAATTAACAACCAAAAAACCCAATGAACTCACAGATGACTCAGTGAAATATCTGAGACTACCTACAACCTATACCTAGATGAAAAATTAAGCATATAGGTATAAATAAAAATTAAACCAAGGGTACACGCCGTAATCTTGATAACTACTCTTCCGATTTACTTGAAATTCGACATAGATACTCAGCCATATATTTCCCATTAGACGCAAGATATATTATATATCTTAATATTTTTTTTATATATTTAAAAATCTTAAGAGGACGCTACCCAGAGCCACATTTAGAAATTTTGCAAAACAAAATTGGAGCCCCCTAAGCCCCCATGAAAAAAATTGCTGTCCCCCTAAGGGGCCCACCAACGGAAAATATGGGAGATAGATACTCATTAACCTTTTAGATTTTTAGCACAGAAAAGAATATATTTTGTTTTACAATGTGTGCTTTTTTTAAAAATATTGTTTAGTAATTGCTGGATCCTCTCTCCGCAAAGATACATTTGAATTTTGAATTTATGTCACTTAAACCTTGCTTATAGTTCATTAAATAAGTTGTTTTTTTTTAAACATATTTAATTCGGTTGTAGCTAGGTTAGGTACTTTATGAATAAATAAAATAAAATTATATAAAAGTATAAAACTATGCAAATTAATATTAATTAAAAAAATGTCAAACAGCATAATACTATATATATAATATTATTATACTAAATTATATTATAAAATACTGTTATTGAAAATAATTAAAATTATACAATTTTAGTCAAAAGTCAAAAGTAAACATATTTCTGACCACAAAATTTTGGCGCCCGGGGCAGTTGTACCCAGCCCGGCAGCCCCCCCTAAATGTGGACCTGACGCTACCCATACATTTGTTGTCTCTTAGACATCTTACACACGCACGCCATAGCAAATTGTTGTTGCAAATTGCTATTAAATAGTGTACTGCTGTCTGCTAGTTTTGATACTAAAGTGAATTGGACTATTATACAACTTTAAGGTAAGAAATGTGCTTAAGCGTCGCAGATTTTTCGAAATTTTCATTTTCTAGCAAGATATGGGTATGTGATATATTAAAAATGCTCATATCTGGCTTGGAAATTAAAATATCGAATAAAAGCCAACGCTTCAGCACAGATAATGTTATTATCAAAAAAATTGATAATAGGTCAAATCAATCAATTAATATCAAAACTAACAGCACGCTATTGAAACTAGTGAATGAAAATTTGCTATGTCGTACACTCGTACGTGTGTAAGACGGAGACAACAAATATCTCTCATAAAATACATGACATTTGATATTAGAATGAATATATCGCTCAGTATAGGATTGATATTTATTATACATAATTTTTTTTATATTATTTAAAAAGATGGTATGGTGGTGGGGGCAGGGGGGTCAATAACTATTATATTGAACGAGTGATTTGGACTCTATTTTCAGGGATGGAAAACGATTTTAATTTTTACATAATAACTATAATATGTATATAATGAATACAAGGCTCCTGATTATATTGTTATTTGTTACAAACGCAGTTGAAAAACTTTGAAAATACATATTCAGAGTAAAATTTTTCAACTGATATTGTAACAATATATCAGGAGCCTTGTATTAAATTTTTACACTTTTTGGCCCAACCGATATAACTTTATTGATATTTATAGAAAAAAAAACTAAAATAATTGAAAACTCAAAATGTCCTTAAACAGTTCAAAACAAGTCAAAATATTTTGAAAATTATATGATGTATAGGAGTTATTGATGAAATAAACATATGAAACAAATTTCAAGTATCTACGGTTTTTTGTTTTAGAATTACAACTAAATATGAAAATTGCTACATGAGAAATCGAGTGAATATCCAATGTTGTAAAAATTTGAACTTATAATGCTCATAAAAGTTAAATTTGATTTGATTGTAGACATTTATGTTTTTGATAAAATTAGACAAACTTATGAGGAATCTTGTATTACATTTTCAAATCTTGGATTTAAAAAAAAAGTTTGTTATGAACTCTTAACTCAAAATACTTTTTGTCGTGATTTTTCCGTATTGTGTCAAGATTTGAACTTTAAATGCTTATAAAAAACTGTGACCAAGGATTTTTAATCTGTCTTTGAAATAATGTATTAGAAGCCTTCTATTAAATTTTCAAGCTTTTTTACCCAACAAATAAAATTGTATTGATATTTATAGAATAAAAAACTAAAAACATTGGAAACTGAAAATGTCCGTCAACAGCTCAAAATATATAAAAGAATTATAAGAATAAAAACAAATATTATCAATATTTTGTAGAAGTGAAGTATAAAAGTGGGTTCTGAATTATAGATGGGCCTATGCACGGCGTCGTTCGTCGGTAGTACACAAGTGCCGAGAGTCTAGTTGGGTTTCGTTAGGTTTAGTGAGGTTTTGGTCGGTATTATTATTTAAATTTAAATAATTTCGATAACGGCAGAGCCATCTAACGCCGCCGTATTATGTTTAACACTAAGTCGTGCTTGAAGAATTCTCCTTCGCAGCTGCTTAATTTCCTAGTAGATAGCGTTGTCATATACGATTTACAACACGGACATCTCCAAGACTCCAAGACACTGCAATTTTTTTTTTTGCAAATGGCTGTGTAGCAGAATTTTATGTTTTATGCCAAGTAGACTTGTATTGTAGTTTGAAGATTTTTGTATTCATTTTTATGTCAAAACGTTCAAAACCTATCTGTTTTTCAATACACAATTTGTAATTTTTAATATTTTTTTATACAATGAAATTTTATTTAAACCACTATAAAATGTTCAACCTTTTTTTATTTTTTATTTTTGTATCTGTCATCACCTTTTAGGACAGTAAAAATGCTTGGATTTTCTTCAACAATATCTTTTCTGATAGGAAAGTGAATCTAGTTGGTAGGTACTTTGAGGGGGTCAAACATTTCCCAGTAGTGTTCAAAAGCTTAGTGAAAAACAAAAGAACAATTTAAGAAAATTGGGAAATTTTACACAAAAATCTGTTTTCGAGAAAATTGATTTTGGTTCTTGGTGCAACTCTTAAACGAATTACCGTAGGTACATGAAATTTTGACCGAATGTTTGTATTACCATTTTCTGTACACCATAACATTTTCCAAATATTTTGACTTATTTGACTGTTTACGGACATTTTCAGTTTCCATTTTTTTTAGTTTTTTTTCTATAAATATTAATAAAATTTTAGTTGTTGCTTAAAAAAGCTTGAAAATTTAATAGAATTCTCCTAGTATATTGTTTCAAAGGCAGATGAAAAAAATTTAAAACCCATAGTCACAATTTTTAATTATAAGCATGACAAAATACGTAAAAATGACGAAAATTTGCAAATTATTTTGAATTAGAAATTCATAAAAATTTGAAAAATTATCTTGAGTTAGAAATTCATAAAAATTTTTCTTTTTAAATCTAAGATTTGAAAATGTAATACAAGATTATTCATAAGTTTGTTTATCTTTATCAGTTCATAATTTTACAATATTGGATAATCATTCTATTTCTCATGAAGTGATTTTGTTATTTTGTTGTTATTCAAAATAGAATTACTGTAAATACATGAAAATTATACTGAATGCTTATATTTTCATTTTCTATACACCAACAAATTTTGAAAATATTTTGACTCTTTTTGAGCTGTTACGGACATTGTCAGTTTTCAATTTTTCTGGTTTTTTTTTCTACAAGTGTCAATAAAATATAAAATTTTGTATTGGGTAAAAAAGCGTGAAAATTTAATGCAAGGCTCCTGATATATTGTACAATAGCAGTTGAAAAACTTGGAAAATATATCCACAATTTTTTTATAAGCATTTAAAGTTCGAATTTTGACAAAATGCCTTAAATTTAAAATTTAATAATTATTTTTAGTTAAAAATGTATAAATTACTTTATTCACGATAATATCATCAAATATACTTAGTACTTAATATCATAGATTGACTGACCGTTTTCGCTCAGAATCGTCTTTCTTATACAATGATATTTTATCATTGAATTCAAATTGAACACCATCATAGGCGTGCGCAGACTCCGGTTTCAGGG